TTTCCTTTAAATGCATTGTTTGAGTTAATTTGACTGATACTAATATTTATATACATATATATATTTACTTACTTATCCTACCCGTGTATATAATGTATTATTGATACGTATGATTATTCATACTAGGAGACGTATATATTTTTAGCTGTTTATTAGTAGATAACAGGTTCACATCAGCATTAGCTGCCATTTCCTCAACCTCCTTTACCAAATAAAGGATGTATGTATGTATGTATGTAGTCGAGCTGAAGAATTTTGCAGTCTTTGCACCTTACTTAATTGTTTCGCGGGTAAACCAAACAAATGACTGTTGCAGTAATCTAGTTTGGATGTTAGGAAAGAATGAACTAAGCGCTCTGTGCTCGATTGATCAAGAAACTTTCTAATTCTACCAGTATTTCTAGTTGCTAATGAAGTTGTACGTCATAAGTTATTCGCATCGCTAGACATGATTAGCTGATTTTCAAAATTAAACGCCAATCCCGATAATTCCAACCCTGAGTGGATTGTAAACAAACAATGCTCACCTAGCAACTGGGCATGAGTTTTCCGTGTAAAATTTCTGACCAAAGCAGGAAGTTACTAGTGGTCACTCAATATTCTGGTAAAATGTTCCAAGGGTTACATATTTTTTTTTACACTTTTTCAGCTATTCACTCATTTATTCATTACTCATTATCTCTGAGGGGAAAACGTTTGGTTTTGGTGCCTCTTCTGAAGCCTTATCGATGCATGTCTGAAGTATTTCACTGAATTAAAAAAAACGAAAGTATGGTATTTACCCTTCAATCAAAATATGTTTTCACGGATACACAATGTGTCTCATGCAAGTTTCTTTTCGTTTGAATGACGAAAGCAAAACTTACGCCAGTATTACAAGAAAAACTTCGGAGCGTTTACCTTCAGGCAATACGTTTTCTAATATAAAGACATCATAATCCACTTGCAAAACATTACATGTGCGTGGAAAGTTATGTATCATAAGACTGCTGAACCTTTAGTTCCTTCTAAGCCAATACTACAACGAATCAGCAAGTATAATAATTTGCAAAATATTGTATTTGCGTGGAAAGTTATGTACCACATAACTGCTGAACCTTTAGTCCTGTTTAAGCCAATATCATAATGAGTCAGCGAGTATAATAATTTCCTGATTCTACGTTGTGTGTGATACGAACAACGAAGGCTACGAAGGAAGGTACTCTAGCATGTCGAGGCTGTGTTCCAAGATATGTTTCTGGCTAGTTTTCTTCATTTTCTTTATTCCTCTGGCTTCAGGTAAGCACAGGAAACCATGCCGGGTGAAATGTTCACAGGTTATATCAGGTAGATTGATCTAAGGAAGTTTCTAAGCTTCCAAGCTTCTCGACGCATTGGAATAAGAGAATCAGAAATAACGGATGACTACCAAATTGTCGTAGCTCTTTACAAGTGCTGCTTCTTGCTATATTACATTACGGTGCATTCCTCTCGACAATAATTTCAACTGGATTTGTAATGCAGATCACATATCCTAAGATAGATATTCCTTCTTTTACTTTCGTTTGGGTTCTTAATATCTGTTGTATCTGATGCGAGTTCTACCAAGAGATTTTCAGGTTTTCAGTCATCCTTACTGCCTAAGAAGACTTGTAGATATCTTTCAGCTGTTAAAGCGAAGGAGTGCGGCGTATAGTTAAGACTTAAGTTGCTCATCGTTTAAATTATCGAGGTCACCAGGAATTCATGTTTTAGTCCTCCAGGCCTATCAATGACATCACTGAGTAAAATTCCGTGACAACATGGAATTTTTTTTCGGTATGAATATTACTCTTGCAATGTCAGACGTGCTCAAACAAATAGATATATCACCTGGTTCTCAAATTTTCATACAACTAGAAGTTTTGAAAAATACGCAGTCTACGACTA